CGCAGTGTTCACTGATGTTCACTTCACTTGACAAAAATCATTAATTTGTAAGAACTTGCAAAGTTAAGTTGCACATATTTGAATTTTAAAGTTTGTTAGATCATGCCTCCACACCAGAAATATCAAATCCAGCCCCAGATGCCAGATCCTGTCAAAAAATAGCTGTTTTGTCTGGTAACAGAACAACTAGTCAGCAAAGTAGTCTAATACCCAAAACCTGTTAACAGACACTCTTGTCTGGTACCCAAAACTGTACTAACAGTCTTCTATCAGCCAAGAAGTTGACTTAGCAAAGCCATTGAAGAGCAGAAGCAGGAGACGAAGTGATGATGATAAAAAAGGAGCAAAATGATAATTTTATGATGATAAAAAAGTTTATTGAATAATCTTGCATATGTTTCAATGCTCAGACTTTGTCTGATGAATAAAAATCAAGTAGTGTTATACCAAACTGCTTCACAACAACTTCCCATAAACCTTGAATTTCCATAAACATTCCCTCATAACTCTTATTCATGAACACAAACATCCCTTGAAACCACACATCATAAGACTAAACAACAATGGAAAAATGATATAAAAATAAATCCTTCTGGTTTAATAAAATATTTTTGTAAATAAATATAAATTGCCATACGCTTATGTAAAATACATTGTATATAATACAGTGCCCTTCACTAATATTGGCACCCTTGGTAAATACGAGCAAAGGCGACATTGTTTACACGATCATTGTTTATCCTTACCTGATCTTTCTTTCAAAGAATTCACAAAATCATAACCTATCATTGAAGTAAAACAATTGAAAGTGGGGGGAAAATCTCATTGTGAAATAAATGCTTTCTCTAGTTCATGTTGGCCATATTGGCACGCAATTATTGCAATGTCCTTTTCCCAAGATAACAGCTTGGAGATTTCTCCTATAATGCCTGAAGAGTTTGGAGAACACCTGATAAGCGATCAGAGACCATTCCTTCATCCAGAATCTCTCCAGATCCTTCAGATTCACAGCTCCTTGTCTTCAGTTCACTTCACTCATTTTCTATAGGGTTCAGGTCGGAGGACTGGGGCGGAAGCTTCATTTTGTGCTCAGTGACCCATTTTTGTGTTGATTTTGATGTTTGTTTTGGATTATTGTCCCGATGGAAGATCCAGCCGCGGCCCATTATAAGATTTCTAACAGAGGCAGTCATGTTTAGATTTTTGATCTGTTGGTATTTGATAGAATCCATGATGCCATGCATCTGAACAAGATATTTAGAACCTCCAGCAGAAAAACAGGCCCACAACATTAAAGATCCAGCCGTATATTTAACCTGGGGTACATGGGTTACTCTTTATCCCTGTTTGTACTAAACCTATCTTGTGGGTTTGCTGCCAAAAAGCTTTTTTTTTTTTTAGTTTCATCTGACCATAGAAGCCAGTCCCATTTGAAGTTCCAGTCGTGTCTGACAACTGAATATGCTGGAGTTTGTTTTTGGATGAGCGAGGAGAATTTTTCCTAATAATGCCAGAGCATCAACTCATTTTCACTACCTTTGTTTTATTCAAACTTATTAAAGTGCTGGAGTGATGCACAGTAACTGGTGGGTAAATTATCCTTTTTTTCACTTGTTTCCTGCATGGGGTGTCAAAAGAGCCTACATCCTTTATGATATTCTAGTATCTAGATAGTTTGGGTCCCTCTTTTCGGTACTTTTCACCTTTTTTAACCTCCACAAGAAAAACAATAGCATGTCTCTCCTCAACAAGCCTATGCCTATGAAGTATAATTTATGTTCGTAGCACAAACAGTGACTTGCAATTATTTAGTATAGATTTTTAGTAGTCAAGTCAAGTCACCTTTATTTATATAGCGCTTTTAACAATACAGATTGTGTCAAAGCAACTGAACAGCATTAATTAGGAAAATAGTGTGTCAATAATGCAAAATGACAATAGTAAACACTAATTTTTCAGTTTTTCAGTAGTATTAGATAAATACTAAAGATTAAATACGAAATACTTAGATTATTTAGTATTAAATAAATATTTAATATCCAGCGATATCGTCGACTTGATTGCACAGATACTTTTTAAACTGAACTGAGCTGGATGATGACGTCACTGAATTCAATGATGAACTGCCTTTAACTGAAAAATGAGTGTTTACTATTGTCCTTCTGCATTATTGACACACTATTTTCCTAGTTAATGCTGTACAGTTGCTTTGACACAATCTGTATTGTTAAAAGCGCTATATAAATAAAGGTGACTTGACTTGACTTTAGTATAGTGCTATAAAGTCGCAGGTTGTTGTCTTTCCAAGATTTAAAGGAGAAAAAACAGAACCAAACAGAACAGCTTCAGTATGCAATATTTTTAATGAATTATACCATTACACATTCAGGACATATTGAATGAGACGTAAAGCTTGAAGACTAAAAGTCTGTCAAGCTTAATTATGATACAATTCTTGTGCCACGCCTGCAGATGTTTGATTTAACATTGGCCTGGCTTCCGGATTAAGATGTTAGTATTTGATGCCCTAAAAAGACAGAGATTATATCAAAGATTAAACTCTGAAGGTCTGGTGGTGACAGATCTTAAAGCAATCTATTTTTTTATTTATACATTGTTATATACAAATGCATGCATAATTAAACTTACTTGATGGCAGCACACAACATACATTCATTGCTGTATGTTATTCCATTGGTTCCGCACACGGGTAAGTAGTTCATTGGACAAATGTTAGAAGAGTACTTGCAATTAGGCTTGTAACAGAAAAAGGAAAAAAAAAAAACAATGAGCTATTTGCACCTGCATGGAGGGAAAAAAGACGGAACTAAGAACAGCAATTCTTCAACGTTTATTTACTCACCATACTTGCTCCATCAGATATGGCCACTGTTTGTGTCAAGAAAATAACAAAGATAACAGTTTAACAGTTTGTATGATGTGGCAAGAGGAAATCTTCTGTGCTACAAAAAAACATAAACGCTATCTTGTTTTGGCCATACAGTGAAATTGTGGTCCAATGTTGTATTTCAAAATCTCTCTCTCTCTCTCTCTCTCTGTTTGATTTTTACATTTATTTTTTGTCTGTGTCTGTGTTCAGCAAGAGAAAGTTATACAGGAACAGTCCCTTAAATCACACTTGAAAATGGCTGAATGTGACTTAAATGTCCAAATGCTTTACTTAACCACCTGCTTCGAATTTGATCGCAAAGCATGAACTAGAATTCTCAAGAATGCAAAGATTTGAATGATGTGACAAATTCGCAACATCCTAACAACATTTTTATTTAATAATTATAATCATTATATTACTCACCCAGAAAACAGAGAAGGACAATGACACCTCGTGCAAACATTGTTCCCGAACTGAGAGTCAACTCATTCAACTGATATAAAACTGAACTAAGTGATCATACAATCAAATATTTATATATTTGCCACACACAAGACCGTCCATCCCACTGGTTCATATCATATACATCATCAAAGGGAGGAACAAAGTCTGTTAACTAAGCACCTTTAGTTTGATAGATTTAGTTTGGCTGGTAGGTGTGTGTAATTTAAAATGAATAATTACTTGTGCTGTAAAAAGTTAATCATGGGTAATCAATCATTCAATTCCTACTCAACTAGGGAACTATTTGCTTTTCCTCACAATAAAAAGTACAAAATGTTCTAGGCCTATACAATATGTCATTTGCTATATTATTATTATTTTTTTTAAATATGATGTATAAATATCTGCAACTAGTTGCATCAGTCACTTTTTACCAATAAATTACAAAATATGATCTTAAAGTGTAAAAACAATCATACTCCTGTTATCAAAATTTTAGACATGAGGATTTTTTTTTTATGTGAAAATAAATATTTTGGTTTATTGGACTTGGGCATTATTTTTGCATCTTGCCTGACTTAATAAAGGATTTTTTATATAAGAAAACTTTACATAATTCTTAATAAATTATATTTAGACATCATCAGTTTTATAAATTATATTTGCATAAGAGGAGAAGCAGTTGAAACAGTGTCAACAGCGCAGTGTAATTACTGACTATGCAGGCAAGCTCTATAAATTTCATCTCTCAGACTCGCTATTTAATTATTTCATTAAACAAATCATCAGCCACATTTAATGTTCTTTAGTGATGAATATGATCACCTTGAACTTACACAGTATTAAATCTTTTCTACAATGCAAAAAACTAAAAGTAAATAAAAAATACAAATAATTTGGAGATTTTTGCATTTATATGCACAGGCCGTCAAAAGTCTGCTGTAACTCTGTGCATAGTCTACATGATTCATATTTCTAACAGAGTTTGTTCTTTGGACATAAGCGTCATCATGTCCTGCTACGCCTGGAAAAACAAGATATGACACCACTGTACAAGAAGACTATTGGCCCGTGCAGTGGGAGTAATGTTGTGTTTTACGGTTTATCCAGTGTAATCTTTGTTTGCTGGTAGTGTGCTGGCAGAGTGATGTTGTAACTGATAGGCAGTATTTCAAGGTTTTTTGTGCCGTTTGATTATTTTGTTTGATTTTGACAATTTGATTTGAAGGCTACTTCAAGCTAATTTTTAGCACTCATTTTAAACTTAAATACTGACATAACTAGTTTTTGATTTTATTCTTAAACAATTTTTTTTTTTTTATTGCCAGACTGACCTTCAATGTTTGACATGGCAACAAATAGATCAGAATTCGATTGCCAAAAAAATAAAAAATAAAAAAAGTCACTTCTTCTCCAGGACAGAAGTTGATGCAGTTCAAACACCGATCAATCACCTCATACTCTAACATCACATTTTTCCAAAATTTTCTTTCGATTGTTTTCTGTGTTATTATAAACAATTATAGCTCATAAAGCTTATATTCTGATACACCTTTAAGTTTTTTTTTAATGTTTATGACAGATTCATCAAAGAATCACTGGAGCTACACGAGTTCTGATGAATAGTGCCCATTTATACTAAAGAGAGTACAGTACAAAGCAGTGACTTCTATATGAAGGTTTTATTAAATGATCGTTTTAAAAAGGACACATAACAGTGGGGAAACACTTTATCTTAAGATAAAACCATTTTAAAAAAAAAAAAAACTGCATGTGGTTCCAGCCTTCATGTCACATCTAGATAATATAAATGAGTGGATTGGTCTCAGCATTCACCCATCCTGGAGATTAAGGTGTTGACCTCGTCCTCCCTGTGACAAGACAGTCAAACAAATTTTCAAAAGGACACCAGTAAGAACATTACGAACATTTAAATGGTGGATAAAAATACAAAATTAAAAACTTGATTTACTTACATATTCCCCAAACACAGCATGCATTCGTTGGGGTATGTGACTCCATCAGTACCACACACGGGGTTATATTCCCGGGTACATATGGGCAAGTAGTACTCAGAGCATTTTGGCTGCCAACAAAAGCACACAAAACATTAGATACATAAAGTGGTTAAATAAATTATCATGAATAGGTTGATCTTTAACCCACCTCTTTAGAGCCACCAGGGATAACAGCTGCACTTGCCAAAGCTGTTTAGAAGAACATAAAAGTGAAACACAGAGTCAGAGAGAGATAAAAATAACTCAACACCAATGTATATGAAGACCCTGCTACTTAATTTTTGTAGTTTGGACTTTAAAGTAGGGATTAAAAAATAACGTCGTCTTCGTTATAAAGCATGCTCAAAACATCAGACTTTTATGTTCCTTGTTACCAAAATCAGTTACAGACTCACCTGCCAAACAGAGTACCAAAACAATCCTTGCCAGCATGATTGTTTGTATACAGCGATGTTGTTGACTGTGTAATCAATCACTCGCAGGTGTGGTTAGTCCTTTTATTGCACTTTTGCTCCCACCCACAGAGCGGTTACAAATTTACAAAGTGCGTCACTCGAATTCCACTTATGGGCGGATCGATCCTCACATAAAAATATCGATTCTAAAGTGCATTTTTTAACCATTAATTTTTATTTATTTATCAAGAAATTCGGTGTATAAAATAAGCTTCAAAGTGGAAAAATAGACTATATTAGCGAATAATTGTGTTGGATAGAACCATTTCTCCTGCTCATCGGAACACACGCAAATGCTGAAAGACAGAACCAATCAATCACAGACAGCGTTCGCTCACTTCGCTGCTGACGCATGGCTCAGTCACAGTGTTTGTTCAAATAGGGATGCGTTTCCCAAAAGCATGAGAAGCATAAGTAGATCTTAAGAAACCATTGCCAGATTATTACATTACATTCGCCTACATAACATTGTTACTATATATAAAATTAATTCTGAAAAATGCATCACGGTTTCTACACAAATATGAAGCAGCAATAATAATAAATGTTTCTTGAGCAGCAAATGATATTAGAATGATTTCTGAAGGATCATGTGACACTGAAAACTGGAGCAATGGTGCTGAAAATTCAGCTTTGATCACAGATGCATTTTAAATTGCATTTTTAAATATATTAAAATAGAAAATAAATATTTTTAATTGTTATATTTCACAATATTGCTGCTTTTACTGTTTTTTTTGTTGTTGTTGTTGTTGTTCGAATAAGTGCAGCCTTGAGCATGAGACTTTAAAAAAATATTACAAAATATTACTGACCCCAAACTTTTGTGTACATGTAATATTTATTTTAAATGGGCTAGTTTGTGCAAGTAAATTTATTTAAACTGGTTGTTAAAAGTTCAAATGGATTGTGTTATGTTCTGTAATTGCTGTTAATAAATCTGTCAGAAAAAAATATGCTAAAGTTTCACCTTTAGAGGTACAACAGCCTGGCAGCCTTTTACAAAAATGAACCATTGTTTTATTACAGTAACCACAGTTTACCACAGTATTTGTAGTAAAACTGCAGTATCCACAAATTTACCATGGTAATAATAATAATACATTTTTGTACTTATGTAACACCATGTTTATTTTTCATGAGGTGCCCTCAAAGGTGCACCTTTGTAATTTATCTACCCTTAAAGCATGCATACTAATGGTACTAATGAGGTTACTGCCCCAGTAAAGGGCTAAAATACAATTATAGTATATTTTATTTCTGACAGTGTAAACAAAAAAGGCCTATGATATGTTTAAAAAAACTGGCTTTAAAATCTAATATTAAGTGAGTATAATTACTGAATATAATCTTTTAATAATTTAAAAAATCA